GCCTTGAGTGCTCTTGGGGGACGTGAACCTTCCTTTGGCATAATTGCTCAGTGCTAAGTCACTTGCTGTGCTTGTACCAACTTCATGGTCAATGCCAATTGCTAGCATGCCTGGGGCTGCTATTTTCCTTCCCCAAAGGCCACGAGTCCTGCTGTTTCACATGGCAGAGTGAGAACGTGTCAATCGCAGATGGACAGAGCAAGGACCTGTAGACAGCTTTGAGGAAACAGGCTTTGAATGTGTGACTGCTGCCTGGGTCTTGGGAAGTCACTTTCTCTCTCCTTTTCAGCATCAGTTGTGGCCAGGTAGGAATTGGAACACTTGCCCCTGATTTGAAACCATTTTTACTTGAAAATAGTCTGAGAAAAGTAAATCTCTCTCTCTCTCTCTCTCTCTCTCTCTCTCTCTCTCTCTCTCTCACACACACACACACACACACACATTCTGTTCATGCTTTTTATTGCCACCTTCACTCCTTAACAACAATGTTGGTCCCTACGAGTGTCAATTTCCCCACCATTTCCTTGATTCTTACCACCTTAATAACAGTTTCCATATCCTGAGTGCTCTCTCTGTGCCAGGGACTCTGCTAAGCACCTTGTATGTATTTTGCTGATCTTTACAAAAGTTTTTAAGGCCAGCATTGCTATTATCTCCATTTTGTAAAGGGGGAAACTGAGGCTTAAGTAGCTACAGGAATATGCTCTAGACATACAATTGAGAGCAGCTGAGCTGGGATTTAATGCTAGACCATTAGACTTCCTAGCCTAATGTATACTCGAGCATTACAGAACTGTGCCTGAGGTCTGACCATACCATTCCTAAGGTTGTTCAACAGCTCCTACATCCAGTCATTCCCTGTCTAACTAAGCAGTACAAGGAGTTTAAAGAAGAAAAATGTTGATGGTTTTTCTTTTTGCTTGATCACACCAGAGAGAACAACTTTAAAAAACACAGAGAAAAACTCTCATTCATACCAAAATGTCAGAATCTTTGAAACTATGGAGGTTAAGAGTACTGCTTGCCCTTCACAAAGATCTCATTACAAATGCATGTATCTGGTATGCTATTCTACACATAGAAACACTCAACAAAAGTTTTTGAATTTAAGACAACATCATGTTTACACTTTTATGTGAGAGTAGAGATGTTCTTACATACTCAATGATTTTTTAAAAAAAGATCCTTTATGATTTGTTTATATGTTCAATAAATTTCCCTCCAAAAATAAAACTAAAGCATTCTTATTGATGGATCTCACTCCTTCCATGCTACCAATGACCACCGTCAGGGAGTTAGCTACTAAATCTCTTATTATCTCCAGACCCACGTGGTCAGCCACCAATTTGTGACCTGGTTTCTCCATACACATCCCGAGCTTAACGTGCCAGCGTCACATTCTATTCCCCAACTCACTCCTCAATCTCATATGACTTCACCAGTAACCCAAACCAGTAACCTAAGCCAGGTATCTCAGTACTCCTCCTTGGATGAGCTCTTCTCTGGCTCTCCTCTTCTCAACCTCCATGACCACTGCCCTCTTCATCTCTTTCCTGTTCCTGCACTAGTTCCCTAACTGATTTCTCTGCCTCCACATCCATCCTCCCCCATCCATCCTTCACGGGAATGCCAAAGTGATCTTTCTAGTACATACATCCAATCTTGACCTTTCCTTAGTTCAAACCCTTCAGGGCCTCCAGTGCATTATGTCCACCATGTTCTACAAACATTAGAGAAAGGTATTTAAAAGCCTCATGGTCTGGCTCCTCCTCTCCTATCTAGACTCCTCTATCTCTTTCCCATGCTCATATGATCAACTGGATATGTTGATGTTCTCTTTCATCCTTCTTCTGCTATGTCTTTGTGTGTGCCAGGAGAATCCTTGATACTTATCATTTAGAGATTCAGTTCCAGACTTTTTTTTTTTTGTAAGATGATCCATCAGTAAGATTCCCATGAGGCAGAGATGTGTCTTTCCCCCACAGGCCCTGGGAAACACCCCTAACATAGCACTTAGCAATATGCATGCTAATTGTTTATTTCCTAGTCTGTGTCTCCAGCTAATGATAAGCTCCTCTGGGACAGGGCTTCTGTCTTTTTCATCTTTGTATCTATAGTACCTAGCATGGTACTTGGCATAGCTAGGGCACTTGCTAAAAGCTTGTTGAAAAATAATGAATAAATGAATGAACCTTATCATGTTAAAAAATTTTTTCAAAGTTAACTAATCAATACATTTGACTTGAACACTTAAGATATGTAAAACATGGTGTTCCATTAGACACAAAGAAGTGTTGAATGTGGCCTTGGCCTTAAGAAACTTGTAGACTAGGTAGGGGACCAGATAAATATGTATAAAAATAAATGTTAATTACGAGAGAAATTATTTAATAAACTGATGAAAAGTATATTCTCAACGCAATCCAGAATGAGTTGCTAAATGAATGAAATGAAGACAGGTTACAGGATCCTGAAGTTTGGCCTGGGAAAGGGGGTACATAATATCCCCAGCTGCTTGGACTGTGTTCCTCTTTCTTCTCACCGGATGCACTCTCCCCTCCTTTCAAGTTTCACTGTACATATCACTTCCCATCAGAAGTCTTTCAGGACCTCCTCTCCACCTAATGCCATTCTCTTAATGTTTGGTCTCCTATTTGTCTCCTTAGCAAGAATAATGGTTGTAGTTTAATTGCTGGTGTAATTATTTGCTTCCCTCTCTATCCCCAACTAGACCCTGAACTGCTGGAGGGCAGGGACAATGTGTTTTGGCTCAACACTATATACTGGCACCAAGCACAACGCCTGGCACAAAGTAGAGGGTCAAGGACTTGATGAGGTTTGTGAGAGACTGAAGATGTAAGCGTGAGGGTCATTTGCACAGACAAAATGATCACAGCTTTGGATGAAAAAGATCACTTATTGACAGGACGCTTACATGGATCTACATCTATTTCTTGGGACAGGATTTGACTTTTATGCATAAGGGATACCCATCATCTAGGGAAAATCTTGGAGTGGCTCATTTATGTCTCTAAAAGATGCCATTTTAATCACCTTTTAAATTTACTTATACATTACAGAAGTCCACTTTAAACGCCTTCACTTACTCATTTATTCACTCAATGGCTACTTTTTGGATGCTGTACCTGGCAGGACCCTGGAACTATCTGCCGACAATTCTGTTCAAAAGTCACAAGAGAGTTTATATTTGTGAAATATACCCTAGGTTCCCTGTCTGCCTCCCCTCAGCCGTACTTCCACGTTGGGCTTTTGCCTTTCATTAAAGGAACAAGGAAGAATCCTATGGAAGTAATCACTATACTCGCCGGAAATGGGTAACTGAGGACACTGTCTATCTTGTCCCTCAGTGTTCACCTGGGAGACATTCCTTTTTAGCGACAAGTGGCATGAGGCCTGGTAAAAACAAATAAAGAAACCCACATGCATATGTGCCCTCTCTCTACCAGGCAGACTTTTATCTCCACATGGAACCGATGCTGGTTTCATGGAGTTAGAGGCTCATATAATTTGGAATCCTTCTTTGAGAAAAAAAGTACAAAACTACAAATAAAAATGTAACACAGAGCCTTGAAGAATCCACAGGAGAAAGGGGCTCTCAAGTGCGGCTTCACTGGTTTCACAGTAAATCGGCGTCTGGCCTTGGTTCAGTGAAACTGGTGTCCTCCACCCCTTCCCCTGCCGCAGTTGTTCTGACCTCTCTGCCTTGTTTATCTTACTTTCTTCTCCAACGCCTGAACTATATTTTTTTCAGCAGTTGGTCTCACAATGACTTCTTTGATTCTAGCTAGCAGAAAGCTCTCCCTTCCCTGCAGGTCCACATTATTTACTCTCGCTGTGGCTTCAGGAGCATCATAAGTTGCTCTATTTGAGAGGCATAAAGTATGCCTTCTGCAATCAAGAGTGTCTGATACTTGGACCCAGGGACTATGTCTCCATTTAGATCTTCCCCGAACACCTACTAAAGTTCTGGGTACAGCGGGAAGGGAAGGGAAGGGAAATGGAAGGGTATTATAGAAGCAAAATGATGGGATTCGGAGGGAGGCTGACCCGGTTCACGTTCTAGCTCTGCCACTTTTTAGTGTGATGCTTAAGCTGAACCTCTCTGTGCCTTGGTTTTCTCACTGACAAACATATACACTTATGGTTTTTACTTCATATTAGTGTTGTGAAGATTAAGTAAAAGCATTTATTTGTTCACCAAATATCTATGTAGCCCCTGTCCTGGACTATTTTGGGCACAAGAGGCTTGGAATACATGTAAATGCACAATATTCCCTGTGTGTGGGTTCTCACAGGTGAGTTGGGAGATGGAAATCTACAATGTATCAGGATATGACTAACACAGACACACAACCAGAGCAGAGTAGGTGCTCAATAAAAAGTTGTTAAATAAATGAAAGAATTCAGAAAAATGATTAATTTTGCAAAATAGGTAACTCTTCACATATTTGTAGCACCATCCTTATGTAAATACTAGAGGCCCCATGCACGAAATTCATGCACTGGGGCTTGGGGCAGGGGGCGGGGGGTGAGGGGGTGGCATCCTTTAGCCTGACCTGTGCCCTCTTGCAGTCCGGGACTCCTCACTCCTTACCACCTGCCTGCTTCTGGTTGCTCCTTAGTGCTGCCTTGGAGGTGGGAGAGGCTCCTGCCACTGCTGCTGTGCTCGCCAGCTGTGAGCCGGCTTCTGGGGAGCGCACTGGCCACCAGGGGGCAGCTCCTGAGTTGAGCATCTGCCCCCTGGTGGTCAGTGAGTGTCATAGTGACCGGTCATTCTGGTCGTTCCACTATAACGGTTGCTTAGGCTCTTATTATATAGATAATGGATATGACAGTGCATGGGAAATCATAAAATGTTGCATGTAAAAGAAAATAAAACCAAGAGAAAACAAGCATGGGCTGAATGAGAGGAGAGAAAAAATGGGAGGAAGAAAGATCCTTCAAAGGCGAGAGGAAGGAAGGGACATCTGTTGACTCACCTGGCCAAGTGTGCACTCCATGCCACCAAGAAAGTCAGCCTCTTTCAGCCCATTGTGGTTGCTGCTGATGTCATGGACCTCAAACCGCAGGCGCTGCACCTCTTCAAAGTAAAAGTCCACAGTAAACAGTTTTGAATACACTGGGTTTATGCAGGTGCGAATCACCTCTGTTCTGTCAACCTGCAAGGAGAGAGGGAGAGAAAACCCATCAAGGATTAGGGCTTTTTATTATGAACATTTAGGCAAATTAATTTTATGGTGCTTCACCTTCTCGCAAACCATAAATACGTTCCATCAAGTCACCATGGCAAGCAGTTCAAAAATCTTCAAGGAAGGACCCTCAGAGAATGAGCCATGTTTCAAGGAGGAAAATCTTATTAGATGGGATAATCTGAAGCTTTGTATTTAAAGATTTAGTGTTGTTAGGTAATAGGCCAGCAAGATGGATTAATTATTAATGACTGCCTGGAGCCTTAGAATGACAGAGTCTGAGGGCACATGTGGGCTTAGGAAGAAAGAAATCAGTCATAGATTAGTGATGTCTGGTGGCACAGTAATGGTAAATGACTGTGTAGGTGCCCATTTTAGCCAATCTTACTCTACATAGGATATGTAACTCATAATTCCCAGCATAAAAAAGGCCAGGAGAATGGATATGAAGATAACTGCCTTGGTCTTGAGTATGCCTTACTTTGGGGTTATCATGTTTACTCAGTCATTTCGATTCTTTAGGCTTCAGTTTCTTTATCAACAAAGTGAGAATTAGAGGATGAAAAGCCAATTCACACATGGCGACACGTGGTAACTGCCCTATTCGTAAGGGGCACTCATTCTCCAGTTTCCAACCTCTTCTCTCTCCATGAATTTCCCTGCCTCACCTCTAGACATATCTTTGCAACATCTGGTCCATATTTGTAGAATGAGCATATAATAAGTTATTTAATTATATTCATATGGTATCTTTTGATAGAGAATTTCAAAATGATCCCCAAGAAATAATTTCTAGGTGGATCTGATATCCTTAAGACACAGACAAGGGACCTTCTCTCCTGTGGATGGAAGAATAGAGTGAAAGGCAGGCTCATAGTCCATCCAATTCTGGTCTATTTCCCTCTGCTTTAACCACCCCAAATGGGACAAATGGCTGATTTGCACCGACCCTTCTGCTTTTCTTCTCACTTCTTGATTTTCAAATGATGATCCCACATGGGTATAAAGTTCACAGTGGCATCAAGCCATGCAGCTCCGACAGACTATCCAAGGCAAGCTCCCAGCATGCAACACTGAATGACAAGGTGTTTTTGAAGAAAATGACTGGTTGGAAAGAAATTAAGCAATACACATTGGCATTGCCAAGGTAGGTAATTTCCAAAGATAATCTCAGGGCCAGTAAAAATCCTAACAGTACATCGGTGCTCAGGAAAAGAAGGAGAACGATGATAGAAGACACGCTCTCAAAACTAAATGCTTATTTGAAAGATGTTTCAAGCCCTTCTGCATCCCAGCCATTATGGCAGATGATGATCTTTTCTGGAGATGGAGGCCAGGTTGAATCTGAGCATAAGAGCCTAAGGTAGCTCATGTTTCTCCTTGATGTGATAAGGTCAAGGTGATTGTTTCCAAAAGACTGTCCACTGACTGATGTACTGGTTGCACCAGAATCAAGCAAGCAGCTTTCTGTAAAACTCAGATTCCTGTTTCTTCCCCCAGCAATTTTGATTCAGTAGTATAAGGTGGGACCCAGAAATCTGTACTTTTAAGAGTGTCCCAGGCAATTCTGACACAGGAATATCAGAGTAAAGGATTTAAGAAGATGCAGGGTATATCCCTTGCTCTGGTGTGAGGTCTTGTTTATTTGTTTGTTTGTTTGGTTTTTGTTAAGTTTTATTTTAATCTTGCTGGCTCTCTGTTACCAAGTCTTCAAAAAGTGTTCTTATCACCTCTCCTCCCTACTCATAATGCCTGATATACTCATGTTGCTCTATAGCTTTCAGAACATGTTCACATCCATTTTTAACTTGACACTCACAGAAATCATGGGATGTAACTGGACATTATTTTATATATGAGAAAAATCAAGGTCAAATATCAGGTGATAGAGTGGGCACATGAGCTCATGTCTCCTGACCTCAAAGTCTGGACTGTCTTCCTTAACTCAAGTTTATTCATGAGCATCCCTTGAAAATGAAAATGAAAAATGCAGCTAGGTTATTGCATGATGGTGATAGACTCAATCATTGAATATTGCTTTTGATGAAATGCTTTTAAAAAATGTTATGTACAACATTTTTTAATCTAGCACTAAAGTTTATAATAGATAATACTTACGAGATGCTCTTACTTTAAATATGCATTATTCAGGTATAATTGACATATAATAAATCACATCTATATAAAGGGTGCAATGCAACAAGCTTGACATATGTACATACATGTGAAGTCATCACCACAATCAACATAGTGAACATAACCACTGCCCCCAAAGTTGGTTCACGGTCCTCTGTAACTCCTTCCTGTCATCCCTCCCTTCCCACATTCCCAGGCAATTACTTTTAGATTTACTCATTGTTATGTGCATCAACGGTTCATCTATTTTATTGCTGAGTAACAGTCCTTGATGGGAATTTGGGTTGTTTCCAGTTTGGCTATTACACATAAAACTCCCATGAATATTCATGTACAAGCATTTGTCTGGCCATATAGTTCTTCTTCTCTTGGGTAAATACCTAGGGTAAGATAAGTGTATGTTTAAGTTTTAAAATTCTATTAGGTGTGTAGTGATATCTCTTTATGGTTTTTATTTGCATTTTCCTAATAACTAATGATGTTGAACATGTTTTTATATCTTTTTACTTGCCATCCTAAGGTCCTAAGGTAAAGTACCCATTCAAATCTTTTGACAGGCACTATCTTATTATCCTTATGACAACACAGGAGGCTCAGTGATGACATTCGTGCACTGGGGGAGGGGGAGGGAGGGAGGAGGGGGGAGGAGATGGTTGCTCAGCCCAGCCTGTGCCCTTTCGCGAGGCTC